CCTATTTGCCCATCCGTTGGAAACTGGATAAAGAAGATGTGGTTTTTCTATAAAATGGAATTCTACTCAGCCATAAAGAATGAGAAATTAGATTAATTCATAGGGAAATGGATACATATTGAGGATATACTCCTAAATGAAATAAATAAGTCATACATGTGTAAATACTGAAGTTTCTCTGGTGTGAATAAATTTTAATAGTACATAAGATCCTAATGAGATAACTGACAATGTGAAATAGGAAGAAAAGGGCTAAAGGTGTAGGGAAAGTGGGAAGGTTTATGGTTCCAAATGAATTTTTGGATTCTTTTTTCTATTTCTGTGAAATATAGTGTTGGAATTTCAATTGGCATTGCATTGAATCTGTATAGCAGTTTTGGTAGTATGGCCATTTTCACTATGTTGATTCTTCCTACCCAGGAGCAGGGGATATCTTTCCATTTTCTTATATCCTCTTTGATCTCTTTTTTCAGAATGCTGTAGTTTTTAGTGCAGAGGTCTTTTGCTTCTTTTGTTAGATTGATTCCTAGATACTTCATTTTTTTGGATGCTATTGTGAAAGGAATTGTTTCCTTAATTTCTCTCTCAGTGAGTCTGTTATTTGTGTACAAGAAGGCTATTGATTTTTGGGTGTTGACCTTGTATCCTGCTACTCTGCTAAAAGTGTCCCTTGTTGGTGGGAGTGCAGACTGGTGCAACCACTATGGAAATCAATATGGAGATACCTCCAAGAGCTAGGACTAGAGGTTCCATTTGACCCAGCCATCCCTCTGCTGGGTATCTTTCCAAAAGAATTAAAACAATCACATCACAGAGATATATGCACACCTAGGTTTATAGCGGCACAGTTTGTAATAGCTAAAACTTGGAAATGGCCCATTTGCCCATCAGTTGGAAACTGGATAAAGAAGATGTGGTTTTTCTATAAAATGGAATTCTACTCAGCCATAAAGAATGAGAAATTAGATTAATTCATAGGGAAATGGATACATATTGAGGATATACTCCTAAATGAAATAAATAAGTCATACATGTGTAAATACTGAAGTTTCTCTGGTGTGAATAAATTTTAATAGTACATAAGATCCTAATGAGATAACTGACAATGTGAAATAGGAAGAAAAGGGCTAAAGGTGTAGGGAAAGTGGGAAGGGTAGGGGAAAGGTAATAAGGGAAAAGAAAAAAATAGGAGAAAACAAAAAAATGGAAATAAAGTGTTTGTAAATGGGGAGGGAAGGAGGGGCTGAAGGGAGGGCAGGGACAAGGTGAAAAAATGAGAACCAAGACTGTCATGTAAAGGTATAAGATCCCAATAATGAGTGTAACTGTACTGTATATGTAAAATGTACCAATACACTCAATGAGGAAAAAAAATTAAATACTGCCCTATTATATACCTTTGATATTGGCTTATTTGAAATAAAAAAAAGCCAAGAGACTCATGGTGCAACTAGTCACTATTCATATAAATTTCCCTCCAATAAATGGTTTCACTAATGTAGTTTAATTCCAAAAGTTGCTATACAACATGGACTCCCAAAGATATTAAGTGAGGCTCTATGTAGGTACACAAAGAAAATGAAAATTCACGGAAATTTTGAAATTTGAAGCTCTTACCTCTTTCCCTCTGAGTCCAGTTCCCAACAAGTAAACTTGACTATGTTCCTGATAACGGATCTGGATGTTGTAAACTTTATCTTTGTACAATACCATGAGGACATATGGATTGGATGTTGTTTTCTTAGAGCTGTCTCTAACCAGAAAAGTGCCATCCTAAAAAGGTAAATTCTTGTTATTGTAAGAGCAGCAAAAGTCAATACTTTGTTGTCTGTAAGAGCAGCAGACAAGCCCCTAGGGATCTGCAAAAGTTGTCAACTAACATTCAGTTCCCCAAACAGCTACAGACCCCAGGTGTTGTGGATCTCTTGGTTATCAAGAAAGACCATAGCAATAGTATCAGAGAAATTTCCAAGTCAACCTCTTAGAAGCCTCTTGACAAAAAAATCTGTTTTCAATAATAAAACATAATAATAGGTGGTTGAGTGGATATAAAGGAGATATATCTTTCTAGTCCTGTAAGTTAATCTCGAACTCTTCCCTTCCATATTCATAATCAGAAAACACACACATGCCTATGAAATACACTCCTTTTAAAACCTAGTGCTTTTAGATTTAGAATTCGTCCACTACACACCTGAACAAAACCAAACACAAGCTATCTGTATTCTTGCACCCTTTTTTCCTGATATTTACTAAACTAGTGTGATTTCTCCTATACTTTAAATAGTCAATCAAATTACTGGCAACATAACAATGCAGCACTGTAAAGATCTAATATAAAACTAGGGCTAATCAGGACAATTCAAACTACTCCCTCCTTTGAGTTCTGAATCTGGATGTCTCTAAAACACCCATCAATCTGCAATAATGGCCTTCTTTTGTTCTTTTTATTCCAAGTTAGTTGAGCGAGTCAGAATATCCCTGTAAAACAAACATACTTCTGGACTAGTGATTCACAGCCTTGGCTTGCAATCAGAATCATCTGGGAAGTTTGGACCACTCCTTAGCCCAATCTAATTAATTAAGATTGAATCTCTTCAGATGAGACCAGGAATCAGGATTTTAAAAAAAATTCCCAGACAATTCAAAGTGTAGCTAAGGTTGAAAAGAACCACTGCACACTTTAGATATGAAAGATGAAGGATCTTTGCTTTCCAGGTTGTGATGAACAGACTTAAGTTTAAGGGTCAGCACTGCACCACAGGGAATTTTTAAACTTTATAATATAGAAGGACTAGCTAGAAATGTCTATAAGAAAAGGCAAAAAGTCCTCTCTTCCTCCCTCCCTCCCTTTTTTGGCAGAGATGTGAAAGGCAACTGTGATAAGAAGATGGGACTAGTAAGACATTCAAAATTTGAGAGAGAATCTTCTTTTGATGCTACACGATTCCTGTGGCAAGACAGATACTTTCATTAGTGAAGTCACCTAAGATTCTGCCAACTAAATGATTGCCTTCATTTGGTGGATTTTTCTGCCAGCCAAATGATTCCTAGTCCTGGTAGATGGGAGGAAGATGCTATGAGTCTCCAAGGATCAGCACCTCGCAGTAGAAATAGCACGTAGCAGATTCTCTAGCCCATAATTGGGATTCTATAAGCCAATTCCTTTTGTCTCCTTCCATTTATAACTACTTAAACATAAAGTAGAAACCATACCTGGTTTATCCTTCTAAGAGCAGCTTCTGCCTCTGGTCTGGTAATATAAGAAATATACCACTCTTCATCTAGGGAATTCTGTAAATGTAAGTTTTTAAAAACAATAAATTTTGCAGTCACAAGTAAGTAAAAGAAAAGCCGCCAAGTAATAATCCATAAATCACCCCCTTAGTTCCATGAGTTTTTAAATATTTGTTTTCTTAACTTGAATAAAGAATCATTTAGACAGGGCTATACAGAAGGTATTTTGTGCGAACTGCTTTTTATCATGACACTGGTTGCAAAGGCAGCTGTAAAATAGTGTTCCGTATATATTCCTTATAAAATGGAACCTCTAATCAGGAAAGACACAGGGATAATAATTTCTTCAGTTTAGTATACAACAATAACATACTTAATGAAAAAGCTGCACTCATGGAGAAGCTAAGTGAGTACTTCAAGTTTATAAGCTAGGAAGCAGAAGGAAAAAATTATTATTTTTCTTATTGTTTAATGCAAAATGCATACTTGTCATTGGAAGAGTCTGAAAGGGGGAAGAAATATATCTCTTTCATCTGCATCCTCCCTCTAAAATTATTTTGAGGTTCTGGAGATTGAACCCAGGTCCTCACAAATATAAGCTCTACCACTGAGCTACATCCTCATCTTCTCCCTTTTAATTAAAAATGAATAAATAAGTTAATAGAAAACAGGAGTATAGAAGTGCATTCCAGGACAGTTTCTTATGATCCATTTGCTAGAGAAAAGACAAACAAAAAGAAAAACATGCTTTGTTACCTCCTCTTCTGCCTGGGATGGTGGCTGAGGTTTGTTTGGAACTGGCAAGGGAAAGTTTCTGCTTTCGGCTCTGAGAGGTGGTCTGTTGCTAGGGACTTTAAAAATGCAACATTTTGAAAATTAATTTTCTGTAAGCTATTGTTTATTTCTCTCATAACACATCCCAATCCCCCAATTTCCTTGTACTTGCTCCAGTATTTAACATTTCAAGAAAACTAAGTTTAAAAATAATTTCTACCTGTTCAAAACCAGCAGGGCGGGAATTATTGTATTCTATAACTATGTATGTCAGTGAAATTCTGGGGGCAGAATCTCAAAGTTTAGTGATTTCCACTAAAGTGACTAGATCCATTTACAAAAAAGTCACGATTATTTTCATGCAAATGTCAAGAAGAATATTCAAGAGACAGATCTTTCATGGATTCCTATAATATCAGTATACACAGAATGGATTCCCAACTGCTGGTGCAATGGCAATATAGTAATAAAGATCATTGTGTTCTCGTTTTTATAATAAGAAATGTAAGTTACCCAAGACAAGAAGAAATTCCTTTGAGAATACTGTTAGCTTTTAGAATAAACATTTGCTACCTGCTGTTTTTTGCTGAATTTCCCATGAAGTAGCTGTTCAGCTAACAAAGACATTACAGACTATCTGATCAATCAGGTTATCTTCCTGGTCAAACCATAAATTATCTAGTACTGGTGCCTCACTCTACCTAAATCTTTCTTTTTCTTTCTTGTTTATATTCCCTGAAAGTTAGTGAGAATGTGTTTCATCGCAGGAAAGATTTGACTGTGCTGACTATAGTTAACACCTGTTTTCTGTGTCAAAACGGCTGTTAAAAACTTGAATATTCTATTAGCTGGATGTTCCTTTAAATTATCTATCCATCCTTCATTAGTTAAGTCAACAAATGTTTGTTCAGCACTACTCTGTTCAGATCTTGAGTAAGGTACTTTATGTCAACCACTCTTAATCGATTCACCCTTAATTACAAGGTGGGAGTTATGTTTATTTTGCCTATGAGGAAGCAGGGTATACAAATCACGTGTGATAATGACAGGGCCAAGACTTAAACCCGTGGCTCCCAAACAATTCTGTACATAGAAAGGATCCCTGGGGAACTTTGACTTACCTAGGGTCCAGGAATCTGCATATTAATATGCACTTGAAGCGGTTCTGTGCTAGGATTGTTACTACATCTATATCGCTGCACAGTGAGGAGAGGGGAATCACCTGGAAAAGGTTGAGGCCTCCTGAACTACGTCACCGGGATTATGAAAGGTGACCTTCTCTCTAAATAAGCAAGCAAGCCTGGTCCAGAGCTGCCAGCACCTTCGTTTTCCAGGCTCTCAATGCCTAAATAGACCTTCCCCAGCTCTGTCTGTGCAGTCCAATGTGTTTACACTTTTATAATGCTTGTTAAATGAATGAAATCTAGCAGTATAGTAGGGTCATAGAACCAAGGCTGTATATGTCATGGCTGTCCTAGTTTTGAGGAATGACTGTCTGCTTCTGCGCCAACCATCCAGCGGCACAAAGCCATGATTCACAACACAAGGCATGTTGGCCGGAGCAAGTCATGAAAGCCCAGGGTACCAACCTTGAGAGAAGTATGGCGGCAGGGAGGCACTCTGTGGAAAACTATTGCTACTGCGGAGAAAGAAAAAGAATGGTTTATAAATTGACTTTAGGTGATGGAACCAGACTGGGGAGTTAGTTTAGGAAGCCAGATTGAAGATGATTCTTACTTCTAATTGAAGATATGGTAAGGCATGTGGGGAAGAAAGTGAGCACCAGAGGTTGCTGAGTCAGGAAGGGACAGTGTTTACAGGGACTGGGGTGGGGAAAGAGGGTCTATGGGGACCCTGAAATGCTACCTGTTCCCTCCATCCTGAACAGTAACACCACACCCATTAGCCCACATTGCTAGTAAGCATCTGCTCAGCACAGCAACTCATACGGGTGATAATTTTCAAGAAGGAAGGATGGGGTTGGGGTCAATGCCAGATGAAGCTGTATGAGAAAATGACAGACACGGCAAAAAGAGAAAACCAGCTGAAATAATGAGAAGAAGCAGAAAAAAAGGGCAAGGGGCACCAAGGAAAAATGAAAAAATCTGAGAAACTTCCTAGATATGTGGCAAGGCAGACATGTGTTGCTGGCGGTTTAATTTTCTAAAAATATGCAGGATGAGGACTTGGGCTTCTTCCTTTGACTATTAAAGGTATGTTTGGGGACACCATGAAGCAACCCACTGGCTTGTCTGAGGATGAATAATTCAGGTCCTTCTCCTATTTGTGCCTCTTCCTCTGGATGGCCTTCTTATGAGCCCTGAGAAATGCTGCTGCTACTGAGAAAATGGGCTTGATGGGGACAAAGCCTGCGCAATGAATTCTTAGCATCTGCTAAGTTCAAGGCACACTTCTTAGACTCCCCATCCAAGAGGCAGGAGGAACTCCAAGTACTTCAATTGGCTGGGTTTCTTAATATTTGATATTTGTTCATTTGTTTGATTAAATTCATGATGTGAAAACATTGCCCATCTTCTGCCATAGTGTCCATTCCATCTAGGATGGACGATTGCTATCCAAATACAGATACAGGGAGGATAGTAGTGGCTTAGCATGTTGTTTCTAATGCTCAGCTTGGTTTTGTTTCTTTACACCCCAAATGTTCAGACACCATTACCTGTTGGCTCATTTCTTTCTTCCTAAACTCATGTGGCATTCCTCAGTGTCAAGTGGACCTAGACATTACATCAAGTTAGAGTTTAATCACCATAGCTACAAACCTTTCTGAGAAAGCTCCAGGCATGTGAGATGGTGGGAAGGAGTGCTTGGAGTTTGGTTTAGTATATCTTGAAGGAAAAGTACTGGAGCTCATAGAAACAAGTGCCGGCTGGGGCAAAGGTCTTTGATGCACTGTACAGAGAAGAAAAAACTGTAAGGAGACTGTCAGGATACACTAGAAACATTTTAGAACTGAACTGCAGTTAAAAAATAGCTGATATAAAGTAAAGGAGATATAAAAATCCAAAAGATCAGATCTACTTGCAAAGTTGTAGGATGAAACCCCAGCTCCAAAGTTTTCTAAATGATTTACCACCTTAGAATGTATTTATAAAATGTTGGTATTCTCTATAGAACATGTTTATTGTATTTTTTTCATTTTTGAAATGCTGTCTCAGCATAAAATTGCCAAATGGAAACGTTATACATTTCTAAAGTGATTTATAAGTTTTGTTTTGCTTTATGAAAGCTAAAATTTTATGCAATCTCATTCACCCATGCTTACTTATTCTTTACCTGCATATGCTAGAGGGCATAAATACTAAAAATCTTTCTATCAAATCATTCACGTAAATTTAATCTTTTACTGTTCAATTAATGAGGCAATTTGCACTGTTGCACATGAACTTAAAATTTCTCTTTGGTAACCCAACAAAAACAATTCCATTTTACTATAGCTGTGAAATATATCAATTGACATATGCCTACTTAATATTAATTTAATAATCATAATTGATTCTGGGAGGTTCCCATACTAAATCATTATCTGCTTTTTATCAGATATATGAATGCCTGAGCAGAAAATATGAGAAAGTAAGATACAAGTAGTAGGAAAGCTTTTTTGAACATACCATCATCTTCATCCTAGTAAGGGAAAAAAGAAAGCTATTAATTTATGATAAAAATACAATCCCTAAATGGATAACTTCATTTCTCAACCATATAAATGTGTGGTTCTTTCATTAGCAGTTATGGCTTTCCATAATAAATATATTGTAGAGGAGAGTAAAATTTGCTAAGTGGTCTATAATTTTTTAACATAAGCAATCATCTAAGGACACTCAAATCTGAGATATCCTCATATATTTATATTGAAAGAGGTTCTGAGGTTTCTAACAGAGCTCAAAGATATAATATTGATAATATCTATTATGTACCTAGAAGATTAATACTCAATATTTCATTCAACTTCCCTAGCAACCCTTTGAGAATATAATGTTTTTATCTTAGAAACAGAAGCATAATGCTCTAGAAGAATTCCTTTCTTGCCAAAGGTTGCAGAAAATGGATTCAATCCCAAATCTACCTGGTCCAAAGCTCAGCCTTCTTTTTGTCTCTCCTATGAAATGCTCACACATCTTACAACCTATCTGACCTTACTTATTTATAGTGTGGCTTACAAGGTACATCCACAACCCTCACCATTTGTATATTTGGGGCCACCATTTGAACTAGATAAAGGAAGGCCAATTTTCTCTTCTCAGATAAGAAATGACGTTCAGAGAGACAGAGTGATTTTGCCATTGACTAGTAGACCAAATGGGCCAATTTAAACATGTTTGTTAGGCCAGAGCAGTAGTGATGAAATAACACCTTCTTCAAATTGTTATTGTGAGGATTAAATTAGTAACTGCATATGTCTGGCATATGGTAAGTACTATTCAAGTTTAGTAACACTGGTCCTATAACACATTGACACAAAGCAAAGGGAACCACAGAATCACTCATCTCAAAGGGCCAACTCAGAGCCCCAGCAAAAAGCTACATAAATAAACACACCTGGGTCATAACCTCCTCACAATGGCCCAGCTTTCAACACTGTTACAATGGTGTATTCTCTGGTTCAAGAATCTACAACTTCTGGAAATCAGTCCTTCCAGAGGCTGGAAACCTCAGGAATGTGATCTCACTTTCCTACTTCCACTGTGACTCTGTCTTTCTGCAGCCAAGTTGCTACCCTTCAATGCACCCAGTCCTCCTTTCAGGGTGACCCTATCCCATGTTCTCCTTATCATTCAATAACCGTCATAAATCTCACCTCCCTTAAGCAGTCACTGTTGGCTCCTTGACTCACATGAATCACTCTCCTCCCCTTACCCAGATCATTCTATGATCGTATGCTGTCTAGTATGTTTGAAAGGGGAGCCTGGGTCCAGACTAGTATAGCACTTCATTTGAACAAACACGGCATCTAGCACAGAGCTATGAAAACAGGAGCCATTGCTAGCAGAGCATTTGATCAAGGGCAGGAGTCTAATGGCCTTCAGAACACTTCAAGTGTGGAGAAACTCAGAGAGATCTGAACTCAAATCTGGATGTCTACTAGCCGAGCAAATTTCAAGTATCTTATCCTTTCTGAGCAATCTCCTCTCATTTATTAGAGAAACGGTGAGTTCTCCTAGGGCCACTGCCTACAAAGCATAAATAAAGCTGGGAGTGATCAACTTCTCTGGTTTGCCTGGGACTGAAGGAGCTTCTGGGGTGTGGGACTTTCAGTGCTAATAAGCACTGGGAAAGCCTCTGTAAATAGTTGGTCATCCTACAGGAGCATTAGATAATTCTATTTCCCTTCTTTTTTGGGTCATGGAGATAGCCAAGAAGAAAATAGGGGCCTTGGAAATTGTGTAATGTGCAGACTCAGGAATCTCTCACTTTATGATCTCCTCTACTTTCTGCCTTTTCACCTTGCTCATAAGGTAACAGGGCTCCAATTAACCCAGCCTCCCTGGGAGCTGAACAATACAACACAACATGCTCCAGGAAACACCAAGACTACAAAGACCTGTATTCAAGGACCTATTATATGTACTCCAAGGGGGTTATGCTATAGTCCAAATCTCCACAGAGCCTACCCTGGTCCTCCCCAGCCCAGCCACTTACAGAATGATATTTTGTACTTACATTATTATCTCTTTTGTCTACTCCCCATCCGGGCCTGAAATGAATTAGGGCAAAGAAAAAGAAGTGAGCATCAAGAGTTTCAAAGATCCAGCCTTGAAATATAATTTCCTAAATTTCATAAGGAAAAAAAAAATCAAACCTTCTGAGACATAGCTAAAGGGGAAGTTGCAAATCCCAGCAGAAAGCAGAGGAGAGGGAGTGAAAGGGAGACTTGGTTACTGAATGTTCTGTCATCACTACAAGCTGAACTAGGCAAACCTTTATTTTGTGTAACTACCGCAGCATATATATAGAATATTATGTGTGTAGTCAGCAGTCTAACTCTTTTGCAGGTATTAGATTTCACTGAGTAGGTGTTTCTGCAAGCAAATGAAAACATTTTAGGTAATATTGTCTTTTGCTAATGTTTCAAAGCAGCCATCACAGGGCCCACCTTTGGAGCAATTGAACACATTTGGAAAATGTCACTGTTTGGGGACTTTTCTAAAGAGGACTTGGTGCAGTTGGCTCAGATGAACAAGCCAGTCAAACAGACTTGGAGATAGCTGTCTGACTGCTGCAACACACATCTGGACCACCTGGACTACCTGGGCCATGCTTCTAGGGAGAGAGGAAAGAGGACAATGTATTGAATACTTCTAAGGTGTCGAGTATTTTACATGAGCTCATTCTATGCTTATTGAAAAGCTTGACGTTTTGATCATTATGATTATTTGCATTCATTTTGATTTTTTTAAATAACCCATTAAAATATTATTAAACTCAATTACTGAGGGTTTTGTTTTTTGGTACACCCTAGCCCTGGTCCTGATTTAGTCCTCACGACAGTCAAGCAAGGCAATCATTACAAATCCCAGTTGCTTAGAAGAGATAAACAGAAGCATGATTGTATCCTTCCTAAACATCAGGGTTGGTCCGGACACCAGGTACCTTTGTGCCATTTGGTAAATAGGACCCATATGACTTTATAGCACAGTTATAAATATTAGAGTAGACCTCAGGATTCTGCAGCTATGAAATGATTCACCTAAAAGCCTCCTGAAGTTTTTTCCTCTCTCTGCTGTCTGTATTGAGTAATAAAGTGGTAAGTTCAGTTCCTATGCACTGTGAAGACTGCACTTACTGGGTAGGAAAACCCCAGCAATGACTGGACAGGTTGAAGACAAGATCTCCACATATAGCACTCATCCCATACATCTGATCAAGCATGTCTTCGCTCATTTCTCAGCTAGATACCCTTTTTCTTCAAAGAGACCTTGTACTTGAAATCCAGTCTGAGATACTGCTTAAGCCACAGCAGCAAAAGGGGCCCTTCCTGCCCGGGAGTGTGTGATTCTCTATTTCCCTGTAGAGTCCTCTCTGAAAGACAAGCTCAAACAATACAAGATAGTTACTTTGGTACTGGTGGCTTCTTCCCTGGAAGGGGGCTACTTCTTTCATGTCTCTCCGTGGTTGGTGGTAAAGGAGGCTTTTGTATCTTAGGTAAATGGTCCCCGAGAGTCCTGCCGAGTTCAGAGAAAGGTTGTGTAAGAAGCAAATTTAACTGCCTTGGCAGAGTTCTACAGCAAATGCCCTGTGGCCTTCCCACCATGCAACACAGCACCTCACCTTCCCACTGGAGCTGAGGGCTGCAAGGTAGAAGAAAAAACATGTGAGTGGCCAAACATTTCCTGAAGAATAGGACAAGATGTAAAAACACCAAAACCAAAACCAAAAATAAACCAGAAAAACAGCTTACCTTGTCAGAAAATGTTGGTTTCTTTCCTGTAAACAGCAGACATAGGCTCTTAAATTAGGACATGATAACCACGAAGTATAAAACCAGAGTTTGATGAAACTTTGAGAAGAAGGGGGCTGACTGAGTTTAAACACCCAAAGAATCATAGATTTTGGGATTGCCTAGGGTCCCTGACAAAGCACCTAATTTTCCAGGCTCCAAAATATTAAGTGGCTTCTCCAAGGTCACATCACTTTGTGTACAAAGTATTGTGGGTTCTATACTTCTTTTCAACATCTTACTTAATATAAATGATTATTAAAAGATTAGTGTCTTGTTGGGATTTTGTGTCTCTTTTATTGGCTAATATGTTCTTTGCATGGCCCAGATTTTATGTGCAGACCTGAAATAAACTCATGTTCAATGGAGGTGGTACATATCCGACCCTGTGGTACAGTTGACCTTATGTAAAGTACTCTGGTTAGTTTCTGAAACATCTTTTAACTTGAGGTAGTGGCTTTCAGGAGACTCCCCAAGTATGCTGCAAACAACCCATTTTTTGTTATCGGTGATGGTAGGTTTTATTTGTTTGCTTCTTTTATTGTTCTTTAAGGACAGCTTCTCTAAATTCTGCATGTCCAAGTTATCAGAGCAAGTTAATTTTTATCCCATCTGAAGTCCTGAGGAAGTATGCCCTTGCCCTCCATGTTATGAAAATTTTACTAATTAAATCTCACTAGGTCTAGAAGCCAATCCCATATTATTTTGAACAATGCTCAAGTTCAATTGAGTTTTGCACTTTTTGGTGGTGCGGAGGTAGGTAGAGTCTCACTATGTAGTTTAGGCTGGCCTTAATCTACTATGTAGCTCACTCCGGCCTCAATCTCACCACAATCCTTTTGCCTTAGCTTTCCTAGTGCTGGGATTGCAGGCATGCACCACCACATCTGGGTCAATTAAGCATTTGAGTCTGGATCTCCTCCACTGTAAAGTGGGCAGAGATAGATAAAATCTGCATAGGTTTGCTAAGGGACGCATGACGACCTATATGGAAGGTCATAGGAACGATAGGTGGGTACTGAAAGATGTTAGTTATGTCCTCTTTCTTCCCCTCCCTCCCAATCCTAAATGCAATTAACACCCCAAGGTGAATATGGTCATACTGTCTGCCTGGAGATGCATTTTATCGACATAATTTATTCTTAGGGACTGAGCACATGTCAGGCCCATGGTAAGTCCTAGGAACACTTCCACTACGAAGAACTCACTGGCTAATTGAAGCGAACGTTGATGGTAGGAAAGATGTTTATTATTTGCAAAGCTCAGCTTAGGGTGTGTTAGGGAATTGATTATGTTAAAGTATTTTGTGATGCTGCCAGCACAGGCTGCATTTTCCTGGTACTTCTTGGCTCCTAAATTGACCTCATGCCCTTATCTCTGGTTTCCCTCCCCTCCAAGGCCACAGCGGTCCAGAGAAGTTGAAACCTGTGTCTGCAGGGCTAGACCCACAAAAGGCAACCTGGCCTGGGATAGATTAAAAGTAGCTCACTCCTCATCAATAATCAATAGCCTAGCCCAAAACTGATAAAAGGACCTTCCTTTCTTTGTTCTTTCTTCTCTTCCTCTCTTCTTCCTCCTCTCTCTCTCTCTCTCTCTCTCTCTCTCTCTGCTCTTTCTCTCTGCTCTCTCTCTCTCTCTCTACTCCCACTCCCTGAATAAAGTCTCCAGTCGGACCTCTTGGTGTGTGTGTGTGTGTGGCCTAGTTGTTGAGCGTCGCTATTCCCTTTCAGGGTGGAGTGCTGATTTTAAAGGGGTTCCTTAAAACTTATATTTATATCCTTGAGCATGTATAGATTTTTTTAAGAATCTGAATTGTGCATGTTCTCTGGGCATGAGTCTCATGTTAAAAGTCTAAGCATCACCAGAGGATTTCTTCCAAAACATCATGAACAAGGTAGCAATACAAGGGTCAAGGGGTATTTTTGGGGAAGAACATTTATGAAAGGTTTTTTAAAATAAAAGAGAAATTTAAAAATAACCTGTATGTCAGGAGATGCCTGCGAAGGCTTTGGCATCAGTGTTCCATGTGTCTGATGCCCTGACTTGTGGCAGTGAGCAGAGTTAGAGTCTGAAGTCTAGTCCGGCTTCATTTCCACAGAACTCTGCAGTTCTCCGCAGTGGACTATGCTAATCCCACACAGACACCAACCCAGCTCTGCATGACTCAGCAGAGCTGTGCTGTGATTCAGGCAAACACCAACAAGCAGCAACTTCAAATCCAAAAACGGAGGCACTTTGCTAACAGAGGAGGAGATGAAGGCCACAAAAGGCTAAATGCCCTGTTCCGAGTACAGCTAAGGAAGTGCTGAGAGGGTGCTGGGATTCTGGATTTCTTATTTGTTCAGTTTCAGGGCTCCTTCCTCAGATCCTCCTAGTGTACGGCAAGTTAAAACCTAAGTTCCTCAACTGAAGTATGAAATGGTGAAAAAAGGTACCTCCTTTGAAGTCAGAAAGACATGGGTTCAAATTTTGCAACAATTTATGCAAATTTGGTCAAATCATTCAGCCTCTCTGATCATCAGTTTCATCATCTGAGAGGTGGAGATAACAATACACCTCATTGTTGGGTTGGCATAAGGATTGGAGAAAATGTAGATAAATTATTTGAGGCAAGTAAAGCACTCGCCCCACAGTAGGTGCTCCACAAATGCTAACTGTTTTAGAAGTGAATTGAAAATGGCTCCATGTGAAGGCAGCTGGCGTCAGAATATTCTGCGTAAATTGTGGAGAGCGGAAGACTTGAATACCACCTTAGACTTTCATGAAGCATTTCCTCCTTATAGAACACCCACCTTACAAATAAGGAAACTGCGCTCTGAGAAAGGAAAGACCTCTGTGGGTCAGTGAGCTATTCATTAATTAGCAGCCAAGGAGAGACAACAACTCTCTCAGAACTCTTATCTCTTAGCTCATTTCCTCCCTTTGCACCATGATGCCTCCTACTGTGTCTTGGCTGAGGGATGGTGAGATGCATGTACTCAAATTGCACCCATGGAGAACCAGCCCACCCCAAAGCAGGAGCTCTACAATCAGGCTGATCTGGGTTCACCCCCATCACTTAGTATCTGAGTGATCTTGGGAAGGTACTTCTTCATGCCTCAGTTTCCCTCTATAAAGTGAGGCTGATTTTCATAGCCAGCACTCCCTCCTGTTGTGGCACCAGTTAAATGAGATTGTATATAAGAAAATCACACAGCAAAGATTCTGTAACGGTGAGCCATTATTATGCATCGGATAGCACTCATACCTATTGGGAAGGGCTCTCTGTCCAGCGGGGCTAAAGAACGATCTAGGGGAGGTTTTGTGCTTCTGTCTATAGACGGAGCAGGCACTAGAAGGGAAAAGGCTACAATTAGAAGAAAGCCAGGGGCAGGGGCAAGGTAGGGGTGGGGTGGTGGTCAGGAGAGAGAAGCCTCATGCTTACACTTCGCTGGTTTGTGGTTTCGATTTCTGCTGGGTTCTTCTTGGTTGGGCTGGGGTGGAGGCAGTGGCTGCACAGAAAAAGATCCACACATTAGGAAGCATTTCCAACTCATCAGTGAGACCTGGTAGCTTTATTTTCTCTAATATCTGTGGATCTGTTCACTCTCCTCCATCTTCATGTTCCACCAGCAAACGGCCCTGTGCATTTCTCAGCAGAGATAGGTGGTAGCATCCCATCTGAGCTTGCTATTTCTCCCTCCTCAGATAGTGGGTTTTCTACAGGACAGCGGAGGAGCCACTTAGCCCTGCTAAGCCCGCCAGTCATCTGATTACATTAGGAACAATCCAGAAACTCACTGTGACCTTCAGAGCCCTGCCTGAGTTGCTACCTGTCTACCTTTCCATCCCAATTCTGTGTCTTTCTCTCCTGGCTCACTGGACACCCACCATACAGGTATATTCTTGAGGTTTCTGGAAAACCTCAAGTTCACGCCCTCTTTGATATCTCTGTGGTTGTGTTTCTTCTGAACAACTTGAATATTCTTCTCCCAGCTCTTCCACCAAATGTCTCATCCTGTCCCAGCTGCTCTCTACCCACCATCATATTCCCCGGCTTCTGTCTCCCTAACCCACATAACTACTCAAATCATTTCTACAGCTGTTTGCTTGTTTATCATCAGTCTCCCTTGGCCCAGTCAAAGGTTTGTGGGAGCACAGACTGTACTGATTTGTCTTGCCCACACTCAGCCCTAGCACTTAGAACGCTGCCTGTCTGACAGTAGCTGCTCAGGCCTTGTCTGCTGATTGGATGAGCTCTGCATCCCAGGAGTGGAGGTGAAGGCCTTCAGGTTCCAAAACAAAAAGTGTTTGTAGATAAATGTGGCTCCAGGAGCACCTTTCTATATTGCTGCACAGCAGGAGGGAGCCATTACTGTCAGATGGAAGCCTCCCACTGTCGTGCAGTCTGGATTTTAAGCTTTGGGGAAAAATATTCTGTCTCTCTCCTTCTGGTCCTGACACTTCGGCATTTGTCACAGTTACTACAATGTTTAGGTCACTGCCAGGCACAGCTGTGCACACCTGTAATCCCAGCACTCCAGAGGCTGAGGCAGGAGGATTGCCTCAGTGAGTTTGAGGTGAGCCTGGGATACATAGTGAGCTCAAGGCCAGTCTGAACTACATAGTGAGACCCTGTCTCAAAAATAAAATATAAAATAAAATAAAACAAAACAAAACAAAACAAAATATTCAGGTCACTTATGAAGAGGACACAACTCTAGCTAACATCTCCTTAGAATGAGCTTGTCAAGGTCACTCTGAGAACGCATTAGATTCACAGGAGCTGCATTGCATGCTTGAGGGAAAGGAAAAAGAGTCTGCTGCCTCTTGTTTCCCCTGAGCTGTTTGTATCTCAAATCTCATTATCTCAAGGCGTTTGTCGCTGGAATTTCAGGCTGTAGACAGCAGGTGGCACAAGTCTTTTTGTAAACTACAAGGGGAAGGCTCAGGACTCAAGGAACACCCCAAATGCCATGGTCTTAATTTACTTCTCTTAAAGTTTATTTTAGCTTTTGTCTATTGCAAATAGTGGGAAATTATAGCACAAGGAGTATTAGAAGAGGGCTTTATATTATACAAGTAGCTTATATTATTTATGGTGCAAAGAAAACACCAATAGGCATTATGAAGTAAATAAAAACCACTAGTATTTCAAGCCCCAAGAAATACTGAGTACTTCAGTATGCATTTTCCAGCCTAGATATTATCTTTTCTTACAAAGTAAGAATTGTAATTTTATTTTCTGACCGGTAGAAGAAACAACCAGAGTGGATACAAAGTCCCACAAAGAGGAGGAGGAAACCTACCGAGTGACTGCGGCCAGTAGGCAGTGGAGGAAGGGCAGCCATTGGTCTCTGGGGAGGCACGGGAGGCTGCTGGGGGCTTTTACCAGCAGGAGGCCTGTCTGCAGAAAGAAGAACATCGAAATGAGAGGAGAAATCGGAAGCCAGGGTGAGCACCAGACAAGCTCAGGGGTCTCTGGAAACAGATGCTGTCTTCGATTTTGTGCAGCTCAGGTCACCAGGGACACTTAAGCTTCGCCTTCCAGATTGCCACCCACCCAGGCCAGAAGACCCAGTCTGGGTTCCACAAGAGGTAGGAAATCCTTGGTCCCCTGCCTGCCCTTTTTCTCCCAGCTCATACATATGAGCAACTCTCATTTTATTTCATCTCTCATCAGAGATATTGCGAATTAAAAAAGATTTCTTAGGAATTAGCTATCCAATACAAGAAGGGAGCATTTTAGGGGAAAAATGTGACAAAATAAATGTACACATACTTCTACACACATGTACACAATGACACACATGCACACATATGCACACACACATGCACACTCACGCAGTATAGCCAGTTGCCTGCAAGGGTTAAGTTGGCTTTTATCACTCATGGGGATCCTGTTCTGTGTCCCCATCCTTCCCCTCGCAAATACTCGGGGCTGTCTTCTCCCTTCCACTTCCTGTTCCTCTCACCTCTTCCTTACAGGAAGGAGCTGGCCACTAACTGTGTTACTAAGTCAAACAGTCTTAAATGGTGTATGGACTTGCCTGGGACAGAAACTCACATGTATTCTGATTGTCACATAACTATCCCTTAAGGCAGTTTGACAGGCTGGCAGTTTATTATCCTTTCAATGGGGAAAGGACAGGACTGCGAGGCATGATAGGCAAGGGAACCAGGGCCTTCTTCCATTTGTGTCCTAGTCCAGACCCTGGAGAGGCCTGGCTCTTCCAGAGAGAAGGGGCTCAGAGTGAGGGCATGCCTGGTCTCACCTGTCACCCACACTGGCCATCTTTCAGTCCCTCTAATGTGCCAAGTTGCTTCAGACTTCAGGAACTTTGCCATAGCCACTTTTACTGCTTTGAATGTTCTTTATTTACTACATTACCTTCATTTAGCCAACTCTTAAATATTTAATATTCTTTAATATCAACATAATAACCATATGCTACAGGAAACCAGCCATCTTCTACACCAGTATTCCTATTTATGTCATGATTCCATTAAATAATGTGTGACTCATTTATTTGATGTTGTCTCAACCACTGGACTACCAATCTCTTAGGCTGAGGGTTATTTTGTTCACCCAAATTCTTTAGAACTGGCACATATAAGATGCTCAAGGACTTAGTTCCCCATTTGTTCTCTGGATCTCAATTATGAAACAGACTTGATCTGATACTATAGTATACAGGTGTGTGTGTGTGCGCACGAGCGTGTGTGTGTGTCTGTGTCTGTGTGTCTGTGCATGTATTTTCTGTCACCATCACTGGTAGAACAACTCGGCCAGGCAAAGGCTGTATTTTCTTTCCTGATAATTCCAGTACTTATAATAGAGTCTGGATCATAGTAGGAAATCTGCCATTTTTGTTGAATGAATGAATGGATGGGTGGATGGATGAAAATATGACAGAGAAATTGCGTTGCCTGAAATGATGAAAATCTTAAAGCCTATCTAAATGTTTTAAAGTTGTTCAGTACTTTTATGTTCACTCTACTAGTCTGTAGGTGGCAGTGCCACATAACTATGATTTGGTCCAAAGATGAGGAAGAACAGGAAAACACTCTGGAATACCTGAGTGACCCACCAAATAAGTTATAACTGTCAAGTACGCTTCCATGGTGGTTCATTACTGATATTAGCCAGTGCAAGATGCGATTTAATAATCCTCACAGCAAGCCTATGTGGTGCGTACTGTTGTTACCCTATTTCACAGACAAAGAATCGAAGCCCAGAGAGGTAGAGTCACTTGTCCAAAGCCACATAACTGTCAAGAAGCTGGAATCAGTGCCGAGAGTTTACTGGAACTGCCAGACAGCAGCCCCCCCCCCCACAGTGCTGAGCCAGGCATGGGGCTGCCAGGGCTGGGAGGTCAGGAAGCAGCTCTTACCAATGTACATGGAGTTGGTGCTGGGAAAAGGCTTGGCAGGCAGGATGGAGTTCTGCAGAACCTCCTCGTCATTGGAGGGTGGCGGCTCATAATCAGCATCATCTTCCACGGGTGCCTCTTCCTCCTCGTTGGGGGACTCATAGTCTCCATCATCCTCCCCATCCGGATCATCATTGGGGCTTTCGTAGTCATCTTCTTCCTGCCAACACGGTGTGGGAATGGCACAGCTTGTGGGAGCACCATGGTGCTCAGGGTCATGTGTATGCATTTTCTGTGGGCCTCACATCGGCACAGCCCAAGCACGGGGATTCCCACAGCGCAGGTGAGGAACTGACCTTGGGGAGTGCAACATAACAAGGCCAGAAAGTCACACACTTGGGACCTTGGTCCAGGTCCCTGACTCTTGAGCGGGTGGGTTTTCCTCTGCTTTTTATGTATGACAGAGAAAAGAAGAAAGGAAGACAATGCTGGAATGGGGACAGGGAAAGGGGATCTCTCCTCCATAAACTCCTTCTATACTCCAGGCATCATCAAGAGAAGGAATAAATGGAGATCCGTATGGCGATTCCTCAAAATTAAAAATAGAAATTCCACGTACCCCAGTTATTCCCCTTCTATGGATCTTCCCCAAAGCGTTAATAACATTATATTCAATGATACATGCATACCCATGTTTATAAAGACACAATTCATAAGAGCTAAATTTTGAAAGCAGCCTATATGTTCATCAACAGATAAATGGATAAAGAAAATGCGGTATTTATACATAATGGAGTATGACTCCAGCACAAAGAAAGATAAACTTGAGTGATTTGTAGAAAATGAATGCACCTTGAAGCTATAGTATTAAATGAAATAAAGCAGATATACAAGCTTAAATACCACATGGTTTGTCTTATGCAAAAAAACCCAAAACAAAAGTAAAGAGCAAAATAAAAGATAGACAATAGGAAACAGGGAGATAGATTTTTGCAAAAAGGAAGGAGACCTAGAAATGGACAGGGAAACAGGGAAAGGGATGAAAAAAAATTAAGATGTGCTGTATACATGTATTGACCCCTCATAAGGAATGGAATCATTAGGTACTGCAGACATGTACAGTGCTAATAAAAAAAACTGAAAAAAAGTTTGGATCATTTGTGACGACACTAGTTACTTGCAAATTTGTTGAGACAGAGTCTTACTATGTAGTTCAGACAGGCCTTGAACTCAATGTATTGTCCAGGCTGGCCTTGGACTTGTGGCTATCCTCCTGCCTCAGCCTCCCAAGTGCTAGAATTACAGGCATGTGCCACCACGCCTGGTGTAGGTTGCTATTTCTGCTCTTAGTGTGCCTGTGCTCTAAAAATGTCTTCTCATTATAACCAATGAAAACACTGAAGACTCAGCTACTGGGGGAACACAGATAACCAAAGCCTGGTCATGGGAAAGCAGATTATGAGTGTCCGAGGGAAGATGGTCCATGGCTCTGCTGTTGTTTCTGCTTAGAGTTGAGTATATAAAAATGACAGGTTTTC